CCCCCCACCCCCACCATTTCTATAAAAACCCTCCATTTTGAACAACTCCTCGGAGCTCCCCACTACTTGCTAGATGGGCTGCTGCCTGATAAAGCTAGTTAGGTCTTCAAATTTATTTGGTTGAACTTTGTTTTTTAACAGCTCCCAACAATTATGTATAGATTAGCCGCGAAGGGGTGTCTGGGTGGCTGAGTAGAATTAAGCGTCCATTTCTTGGTTTCAGCTCTGCTCATGATCTCATGGTTCATGGGATGAGCCCCTAATCAGGCTCTATGCTGACAGCTGTGGAAACCCTGCTTGGGTTTCTCTCTCTCCCTCTCTCTCTCTGCCCCACCCCCACTCATGCTCTCTCCCTCTCAAAATAAATTAATAAACAGAAAAAAGAAAAAGATTAACCACAAAAACTATGAGACATGAGGAGAACTCATTCATTCTCCCAAGCTATTATGCTTTTGTTTACAAATCCTCTAAGCGATAACAAGTACTTATTTAGCTAGTAAACTCAAGTAGGACAAAAGTTTTATATTTAATATTGATAACTCTAAAAGACACGTCTATTTTAATAGACCAACAACCTTGGGTTAGCTTTAACACCAAATATTTCCTCAGATCACGTGAAGCTGGAAAACATTTGGGTTAGTTTCTATCTTTTTGAGAGTTCTAGAATGTCCAATCCTTACAAATGCTTGCCTTCACACCAACCAAATGGAGCTCTTTTACAAATTAATTTTAGCACTACCATCCAGAGGTAGGAAAATACGTCACATTCATAACATACACACAAAACACACAGATGTAAAAACCTTAGAGTTACTAGTATTGCTGACGAAGAGCTTTAAGATTTGTATCTGTGTCTGGAATTAAGGAGGCCTGCTAGAGTTTGGGCACAAGTGCCCTTAGAGTAGTTTATATTTTCAAAAAGGCCTCTCTTCTTTTTTCTTTTCTCCCCTTAGTCTCAGGTACCTGATTGTGGGCTATGCTTAAATTTCAAAGACATGATAAGATGTGTACAACTTTAAGGAACACAGAAAGAATGGAAGGTCTGCCAAGGACTTTTGTTTCCTTAGGCCAATAATTTATAGGCTTTTTAAAATAGACAGGAACAGCTTTGGGACTGGTAAAGGAACAGGTGAATTTTGAATTGCCTCTAGAGCTGACTTGTATTTTGCAAAAGATCTGTCAGATAAGGACAGCTGTTTTCAATTCCTTAAAAAATTTGGATTGCAACTTAAATGATAGTAGGGGTTGATCCATGCATCCAACTACATTATCCCCAATTTGCTTTTCTCCCTCTTGGTTTATAGTTTGAATTTTAAATATTTCTGGCAGGAGCGCCTGGGTGGCTCAGTTGGTTAAGCATCCAACTTCAGCTCAGGTCATGATCTCGCGTATTGTGAGTTCCAGCTCTGTGTCAGGCTCTGTGCGGACAGCTCGGAGCCTGGAGACTGCTTCCGATTCTGTGTCTCCCTCTCCCTCTGCTCCTCCCCCCACCCCACGCTCTCTTGCTCGCTCTCTCTCTCTCAAAAATAAATAAACATGAAGTATTTCTGGCAGTACTGAATAACCCCCCTTGGATAAAAGATGGTCCTCAATGAGGGGGCAATGGATATTACCTTCCCCAAAGCTAGAGTCAGTCTCAAGGACAGCTAAAAGAAAGAACCAACAACCCCAAATTCCAGACAGGCAGAAAGCCAAGACCAGTTAAACAAAACAAGACAAGCAGAAAGGCAATGGTTACCCCTGGGAGAGAAAGGATCTATAAACAACAGGTTTGGATTTGGAAAGGAAGGGGCAACGTGAAATTGTATTTTTCTCTCTCAGCTGGGCACTACAGACAGATTCAGAAGAGCGGATTCTGGTAAGAATGTTTACCCTTTGCTGACTTCTGCCAGTCTTCCTAGGAGGCCCTTTGCAATGATGACAATAAAAATCATGGCTAATATTTACTGAGCATTTCTTATGTTTCTTGTAGAGCCTGCTTTTAGGCAACAGGCTTGAGCTATGGAAACTTGAACAGGGCAAAAGGGCCCCCAGCGAACACGGAGCTGGATGCAAACAGGCTTGTTAAGCTTTAAGCCCTAACTATCTACTTAAAATTGGGCACAGTTCCTAACACTGCCAAAAAGGGGGAAATTCCACACGTCCCCACACTCCATCACTCTGCTCTATAACCATAGCCCCACCACCACCACCACCACCTCGTGGCAGACAGTCCCTCTTTTGGGATCTCGCCCCTGCTCCCTTGCTGTGTATTCAATAAACTTCTACCTCCTTTGTTCTTCCCTGGGTAAATCCCTTCCTGGCCCATGCTAGCTGCCCCCACCTGAGATGCCCCACATTTCTGTTGCTGTGCTGCAACTTAATGTAAATTAATCCTCAAAATCACTTTGATTGTTTTAGGGAGAACTATCTGTATTCCCACTTTGCAGATAAGGGTACTAAGGCTAAGAGGTTAAATAACTCAACCAAGTTAGGAAATGGAGCTGCTAGGATCATGAACCCAAGTCTACCCGCTGCTGGATCTAGACTGTCTGGACTGTTGCCCCACATTGTCCTCAAGGATTGTCAAGTGAGGGGCGCCTGGGTGGCTCAGTCGGTTAAGGGTCTGACTTCAGCTCAGGTCACGATCTCATGGTTCGTAAGTTCAAGCCCCGCATCAGGCTCTGTGCTGACAGCTCAGGGCCTGGGGCCTATTTCAGATTCTGTGTCTCCATCGCTCTCTGCCCCTCCCCTGCTCATGCTCTGTCTATCAAAAATAAACATTAAAAAAAAAAAAAGATTGTCAAGCGAGAAGGTGAGAAGGTCAGGCCAGAATTAGAAAGAAGGATGGTCAAGAGTTTCATACATGAGGTAACTTTCAAAACTCAGTTTGGTTTTTTGAGAAGAGTCATTTGAGAAAGTCTTCCAAATGACTTTATTTCTATAATTTGGGGGTCAGGCATTATGCTCCAGGCATCAAGGTTTTATTTGGCCTGATGAAATCAGTGTGAGAACATGATTTTATGCCTCACGATTCAGAATCCAGGCACCTTGATGCACTGATACTTTTCAAACTTTAAATCATATTTTAAAAATAAATTTTTAGGGGCTGGGTGACTCAGTTGGTTAAGTGTCTGACTTCAGCTCAGGTCATGATCTCACAGTTCGTGAGTTCAAGCCCCACATCAGGCTCTGTGCTGCCAGCTCAGAGCCTGGAGCCTGCTTCAGGCTTTGTGTCTCCCTCTCTCTCTGCCCCTCCCATACTTGCACTCTGCGTCTCTCTATCTCTCCCTCTCTCAAAAATAAATTAAAAAAAAATTTTTAATAAATTTTACAAAAAGTATTCAATGTTTTTCTCCAAGTTGATATTGAATAATGAAGCACTTCCCTTCCTTTCACTAACAGAGACAGAAAAAAAAAAATCAATACAGAACTCTGGTGACCTGCTCACCTTTATTTCCTTATTCCTCAATGAACTGAGAACATCTACCTGTCTTCTGCTGGGGCTCCTGCGTCAGCATTTTATAAGCCAATGGGAAGTGTGAGAGAAGCCCAGTTGGACTAAATCAGATTGCTGAGGGAAGAAAAAGAAAAGGCACTTTTCCAACTCCCAAGAGCAGGACCCAGACCGCTCATTCTGCTAAGAGTTAAAGCAGCAAAACATAAAAACATGTCAACACTGGAGAACGTGGCCATGGCTTTGAGGCGCTGCGTTCCGGCAGCAGAGCCAGCCCTTCACCATACCATGTCACGGTACCATCCGATACACGGGGTCACCAACGTTCAAGCTGCCGACTTTCTCCACTGAGTAGTAGACCCCAAAAAGTGGGGACGACTTGTAGATCTGCTTCTCAGAAGGATCACACAGGCGGTAGCTGAAAGAAGCAAAAATTCACCGTCAGGCACAAAAGGGAAATAGGAATCTAAGTGCTCTCAACAGAATTCGGGTTTTCATCCTCAGGTGACCTATAAATAAACAGCAAGCCTTTTCTGCTCCTTGGACAGAGAAGTCTGGGGGCAATTAGTCAAACCGCACATAATCCTGGTTTTTCAAGAAGCATCCTCAGATGTCTCAGAGTCTAACCAATTTTTCCCTGGCTTCAGCTTGAGGCCAAAAAGAAAAAACTTATATGTGTAACTCAAAATAAGTAGTACATTAAAAAATAAATAAACGGGGTGGCTGGGTGGCTCAGTCGGTTAAGCGTCCGACTTCGGCTCAGGTCATGATCTCACAGTTCGTAGGTTCGAGCCCCACATTGGGCTCTGTGCTGACGGCTTGGAGCCTGGAGCCTGCTTCCAATTCTGCGTCTCCCTCTCTCTCTCTCTGCCCCTTCCCCACTCACTCTCTTTCTCTCTCAAAAACAAATAAACATTAAAAAAATTTTTAATAAAAAAAAAATGGCATGGGGCTTGACTATTGGCAAAGGTTTTTTTTTTTTAAAGCCCTATCTAAAGAAAACTAACTGAATCTCAAAAATCAAAAAACAAAACAACTGTATATTTGAATAATAGACCCCAAAGAGTGGGAGTCTATCATTAACCTCTTCTTCTAACTTAAACCCATTGAAAACAAATAATAAAAGAGACCAAAGGGAAACAAAATAGAATACACCTCCCCAAAAACTGTTAACTTAGTTTTAAAAACACGTTCTGCATTTATAACTAAAGTCAACCCAAATTCCTTAAATATCAAAACAAAACACCCTGCCATAAAAGAAGTTCCTCAATAAACAAACTGACAACTCATTGTGTTCCAGTATTTCTAATATTTCATTATACAACTTCAATTAGTCTCACATTCCTTGATGTTGAGTCTAATAAACAAAAATAATTACAGTATTTGAGGTCTTAATTTAGAAATACATATTGAATGTTATTAAAAATTGATGTGAGAGGGGCACCCGGGTGGCTCAGTCGGTTAAGCGTCTGACTCTGGTTTCTGCTCAGGTCATGATCTCACGGTTTTGTGAGTTCAAACCCCACGTCAGGCTCTGTGCTGGCAGCTTGGAACCTGCTTGGCATTCTCTCTCTCCCTCTCTCTTTACCCCTCCCCTGCTGGCTTTCTCTCTCTCAAAATAAATATATAAACTTGATAGCGGCTCAGGTCATGATCTCACGGTTTGTGAGATTGAGCCCCGAATCGGGCTGTGTCCTGACAGTGCGGAGCCTGCTTGGGATTCTCTCTCCCCCTCTCTCTTTCTGCCCTTCCCCTGCTTGTGCGCTCTATCAAAATAAATAAATAAACTTAAAAAAAAAATTGCCAAAAGTACTAGAAGATTAGTCCATAAAAAAAGAGAAGGCACGGGGCGCCTGGGTGGCTCGGTCGTTTAAGCGTCTCAGGTCATGATCTCACGGTCTGTGAGTTCGAGCCCCGTGTCGGGCTCTGTGCTAACAGCTCAGAGCCTGGAGCCTGTTTCAGATTCTGTGTCTCCCTCTCTCTCTGCCCCTCCCCTGTTCACGCTCTGTCTCTCTCTGTCTCAAAAATAAATAAACGTTAAAAAAAAAAAAAAAAAAAAAAAAAAGAGGAGGCAACTTCCACTAACAGACACATACCAACCAGAAGGTGGAGTGAAAGGTGCTCACACAGGGCACCTACACCCACAGGTAATTCTAGGATGGGGATAATATTAAAAGTACATTGGACACATTGCTGTTTACCTCTTCAGGGTTTCCAGTGGCTCCTTCCTGTCTATCACTCCGGTATCTGGGTCTACAGTGGTCAAAATGCACCTGTCATTCAAAAACCAAGAGCTAGGTAGAGCCACAAGCCAATGAACGTGCCACACCCCAGAGGTTGACTCTCGAGAGAACGCTTACCTGGGGCAAGCCAAAACCTTTTTCATCTCTACGCTGCCAATGAGGAGCTCATCCCAGGTATCCTAAGAGGAAAGGATAGGTCATCTTGTGATTTCATTAGTCTTCAAAGCAGTTTATTCTTTGGCTGCTACCAACTATGAAACAAGAAGAAGGCAGCGAGCAAGACACCAAGAAACATGTCCCAAAGGGACGCAAGGGAACACAGCACATCGGTGAGTCCAGGATCCAGCTCCTCACTCCCGGTCTCAGAAACCGGACTCTATCAGTACGGCAAGAACAGACCTTATTTGGGGGGCAGTTGGCCATGAGATTCATAAGTGAACTAGAAGGGCAACTTATTGATATATAATGAGAAATGTATAACTTGCAAGACAATCCCACTTTGTCCTTAATAGCTAAGCTACAGTGGAAGCCAAGTTAAAACCTGATGGTTCTTTGGGGGCGCCTGGGTGGCTCAGTTGGTTAAGTATCCGACTTCAGCTCAGGCCATGATCTCACGGTTTGTGAGTTCGAGCCCACATCGGGCTCTGTGCTGACAGCTCAGAGCTTGGAGCCCGTTTCGGATTCTGTGTCTCCCTCTCTCTCTGCCCCTCCCCTCTCTGCCCCTCTGCCTCTCTCTCTCTCTCTCTCAAAAATAAATAAACATTAAACATTTAAAAAAATCTGATGGTTCTTTGACAAGTGGGACATCACCCAAGGGAAGTCAGTTATGAGATTCACACATTCAACACTTCCACATCCACG